TTTTTATATTATCCATTTTTAAAAACAAAGTTTATATATTATATATACAAAATTTATATACTATATATACAAAATTTATATACTATATATACTGGGGGTGATAGGTAAATTGTCGCAATTTTATATCTTTAATTTTGTGTGTACATGTTTGTTTTTGATTTTGTCAACTGCACAGTATAGTAGGATCCATTAGGCATCGTCTTGAAAGAAAGAGCACCAATGACAAAATTCACTTTGCCAGAAATTTAGAAACACCATGTTGTACTGCTTGGCATTTGAACTGGAAGCTCCAATACGAACAATTTCAGAGGAATCAGAAAGAGTTGGATGAGTCTAATGGTGATTATGAAGGTACAGTAGCTCAGAAAACTAACTGTTCATTCTGATAAGAACTCACAAATTTGTTGGTGAGGGCCTCAGACTCAACATGAAGACCTACATCAAGTGCCTTGAGGATGTAGTGCTGCCCTGGGTCAAGAGGGTGGCTGCTGGAAGACCCTATGTCTAGCAAGAGGACTCTACACCATGTCATACAAGCAGAACCCAGTCATGGCTGTCAGACAATTTCTGCGACAACATCACCCCTTACATCTGGCCACCTAGCTCCCCAGACTGTAACCCAACTGATTATTGTGTGGGGCACAGTTGAGCAAGATACCAACAAAACTCCTTTTAACACCAAAGAGGAACTGAAGGCAAGGATTATGGCAGCATTTACCAACTTAAACAAGGACACCGTCCAGAAGAGTTTCAAGAGATTCCAAAGTCATCTGAGGCCATGGTTGAAATCAATGGCAATTTTATTGAATAAATTTACTCACTAGTATTTCAAGATATTTTTGTGTAATTTTGATAATAATTTATCCATTGCACTCTGTACATTGCTGCAACATTTTAGTTGCTGGCTATGATTAGTTAAGAAAATTGAAATATCTTAAAGTATTTTTCCTTTGTAAAACTATTCCTTGAAAATTCTTGAAGTAATACAAACTTGTGTATGGATGTATATGCCTAACTTATATTACATAATTCACAAAATATTTTCATCATAAAATTTAAATTCCTTTGAATATTTATCTACATTAATTCAGCAGCCATTCAGCTACAGTGATATTAAATTTCAGCCATTATTATAGACAAGAGTTGTGAATGCTTGAAAAAAGAAAAAAAAGGAGAGAGAGAAATAATATAGCCTTGCATAAAAATTTACAATAAAGAAAGAGAGTCATTAAGTTGCAAATCCCAAAAAGTATTTCATGAAGAAAATTTAGAAGACATTCCATTCTGCTTGATGAAATTTCTATATAAATCCATATAACATGATGCTTATTTTTATACATATTACTATGAGGAGGGGATATTTCAAACTCCACAGGTTATGTAATTGATTCTGTCAATTTCAATTTTTCTTTCTAACAATCAATTCTAGTACATATCACACTTGCATCAGTTATTGATTTTGGTATGAACAATTATCAAATCTGAGTAAAATCAGTTGATGGCATCACTAGGATCCAACTCTGAAAGATAAGATAATTAACAAAATGAGAGCTAGAATTGGACATTTGTACAAGCATGCATTATTATTTACAAAAATATCATTTTCATATCTTGTATGATATATATGGAAATAGTAGGGGAACGGAAGGATTCAAAAACAATTTTTTTAAGCCCAATCTATATAATGAAATCTGACCAAATAACAAAACTTTTTTTGAGGGGAGGGGTGGTATCTTCACAAAAAACATTTCAGACACCCACCAACCACTAAGAATAAAAATTAAAAATAACTGTAATTTTAGCCAAATCCAAAAAAAAATTTTTATTTTTTTAAATTGAGTGCATGCAAAGGTCTCCAAAATTTATTTTCCATACAATCTTTCACAAGCTTTGGTTTTATATCAAGACATTTTTGTACTATATTAATGAGTATAGTTAATTCACAAAAAATGCTTTCATTTAATTTACAGCTTATAATTCAGTAATATATCAGAGTAATGAAAAAAAATTAACAAATCAATCTACTATTAAAAACAAATGCAAAGCTTCCAAAGCAAACTTCTTGAGAAGTGAAGGAGAGCATATTTTTAGTATTAGTAAAGCTTTCAGCATGACTAACATCTATGCCATTTACTTTTTAACATTTACACTCTGCATCATTTAAAAATATTACCTCCCCTTTTACTGTACATGGAATCCCCTCAAAATATAGTGGTTTATATATTAGTTCTATATATTTGAAATTGCAGTGACCTGGCTCTCAATTTCAGTCTAGATTGTTCTAGGTGTTACCATAGAAGGATATGACGACACAACCAAGAAATTCAAAGTCAACTTGCATTGGCAGGATTAACATTTTGCTTGGCAAAAAAAGTCACCTAGAGTGCTAAAGGTTTTAATCAAATCTTCTGAATTTTACTGATAGCATATCTTAACTCTATATTCATTCTTTTATTTGCCAACATAAATTCTAAGGAGTCTATGACACTCCTCCTGATCACACTGAGCCAGATGTAAAATAAAAATCATATATATCTCATAGCTAAAACAAGTGTCTAGATCTATAATTAATGAGTGATGAGAACCCATCCCCACCCATTTCGGTCAAATAATAAAAGTTCAATGATGAACAAATACTAATGTGCAAAATAGAAACACATTACTACATTATAGGACAAAATCATTATAACAAGTATTCAAAAGCGTTTTAATACAAATCATTCCACAATATCATAATTATATTGACCATTTGTCTGTACAACCTTTTAAAACCCTTAATTATTATGATCACTATCATTTTGCTCTTTCTAAAATCTAGGAAGCTCTAACTGCAATAATTCTCTTGTAAATAACTCCACAAAAATCAAAAAATCTCATTTGAAGGATGAAGCCCAATTGTAAAAAGAATTGGAGATGAGCAACCATCTATTCAGGGAATTTAGACTTATGTCCACTAATATAAGATTATCTTGTCATAAAATATTTAGAGATCAAATGCTGGCAAAAATTCTAATATCTGTATCCCAAAGAGGGGAAAATTTAGAGTAAAACTATCTTGTCCAAACACTAAATATATTTGAATAAACTTAATGAGCTGAACAAACTTACATAACTAAAAAAAAAAATCTTTTTCAAATGTAAATTTTTCAAATGTAAATAGTCCAAATCAGCTAAAATGTACATAATCTATACCAAATAGCTCAATCACAAATAATTTTAAAGTAAATGATAAATATAGTCTAGTTTAATCATGATATGTAAATCATAACATTTTATTAGTTGTTAAAACATTGAAACAAGAGATAATTGACCCAGTTAAATATGAAGCATTAAATTTTCTTGAATAAAAAGATATATATATATATATATATATATATGGCCTGACGATTGCATCGAGCATGAAACAGACTGCCGCCTCTAAGTGTTGACTTCTATGTTCACTTTTATATTTACACACACTATAGCACATCTTAAGACTATATTTCTTCATATATATATATATATATATATATATATAAGGATATTATTTATTTATCTTTAAATCTTATCTGCTTCAACAGCTTTTATCATATATATATATATATATATATATATATATATATATATATATATATTGAAGAGGCATATTAGCAAAGATAAACAGTCCACTGATGGTGAACAGGTGGCTTAATCGGAGGGTATTTATTTAAAACTTTCAAAAGCAAAACTATGGAAATAAAAAAAAAAAATTCAGAGCTTAATGGCATCATAAAGCTACAAAACTGACTCAATAAACTCTTTATATTTCATAAAATAGAAATTTTAAATAAGAAAGTAAATAAAAAGTAGCTTCCTAGACATTTACTCAAAGAAGTCGAGTTACTGATTATATTTGCTCTAAGATTATAACAGTATATCTTATTTTTGATGCATACATATGCATAAATCTAGTATGCAAAGTAGAAAATTATAACTAGCAATAAAATATTTTATTTTTAAGTGCATATAAAGTTCATAAGCTATTGTAGCTGTAAATGATTTCAAACTTTTGACTAAAATGTTCAGGATTTGCTTTAATTTATAGCTTCATTTGCGAAGTAATGACAAAATGTAAACTATAATTTGGCTGTAGCATAACTGTGTTTTAGGAAAGAATTTAGCGCTGTATTATAAGAGCGCCACCCCAGTTATTGGTCTGGTATTTATATAATCTCATTTTGTTAATAGTCAAATGCAAAAACTGGAAAACTGAAGAAAAAAAAAAAAAGAAAAAAAATCAGGAAGAGCAAAAGGGGCAAATAGAAATAAAGGCATTAAGATATTTAAAGAGAAACTGAAATAGATATTTATTGAACAACATTGTATTAATTTTAAACATTTTAACATATGACAAAAGTTTTATATGAACTAATATCAAAATAAATGAAGTTATTAAAAAAATTATAGAAATTGGAAAAGACAAAAGAATAAAATAAGAATTTAAGTGACTAACATATCTATATTAAAATTTAAAACTTAGATGACATGTAATCAAAACACTGAAAAAATTTAACACTTATAAAATCATTTGTGCATCAATATTTAAGGACTAGAAACTATAAAACTAGATATGTGAATAGCAGAATATTAAGGAGTTTAACACAAAACAAGTAGATTTAACACAAGTATTTCAAATCATTTTATTAAAGTCCTTAAGATTATTAAGCCATGTATATCATAATAGAATCTGTTCTTACTTAAAAACTGATTTCCTTTCGAAAATGAATATACAACTAAGATTTCAATTTACTGATATCAGTTCATTATATAATTTTGCATATAATATGTAAATGTCATTCAATATAAATCTATATTAGCATGTGCTTCAGTTCCCCTTTATCACATAGGTAGATGTGTGTGTGTGTGTGTGTGTGTGTGTGTGAGAGAGTGTGTGTGTATTTTTTTTTTTTTCATTGGAGAATAGCATTCAGTTCTACAGTAATGTTCCAGACAGCCAGGGTGAGCGGTATTTATTCTCGTACCTTCGCTATATGTTTTGCTGGCATGAGCTAAGCATGTCACAGATGAAACTCTGCAATGAAAAAAACAAATCACTATATCAAGTAATCATATTCATGAGAGTTCTAAAAACACTCAACAGAACTGAATATATATGACTTAAAAAAGTCAAGTTTATTTTACTATTATTTGCAATATAGTTCCTTTTGTTAAAAAAAAAAAAAAAAAAAAAAAAATATAGTGAGACTGATTAATTTTATCATCCTTTGTTAGACTGATATTTTTAGATATACTATATACTATGAGATATTTAAAAGAAGAGAAATGCACAACATGCATCCACCAAATCAGTTCAGAAAAAATAAATAGAAAATAAAATGTTACATAAAATTTGGTAGGTTTTTGAAATGATGCCATACTATTTTAAACCAGACATATTTTAAATAGTTGTTAGCAAAATACATTTGATAGTTTTGCTGATTCTTTTATCTTTAACAGTTTACCCTATATTTGTTTCCAATGGCTTCAAAAGAAAAAAGAAAAAGAAAAAAAAAAAAAAAAAAAAAAAAAAAAAAAAAAAAAAAAAAAAAAAAAAAAAAAAAAAGAAAAAAAAAAAAAAAAAAAAAAAAAAAAAAAAAAAAAAAAAAAAAAAAAAAAAAAAAAAAAAAAAAAAAAAAAAAAAAAAAAAAAAAAGAAAAGGAAAAAAAAAAGAAAAGGAAAAAAAAAGAAAAGGAAAAAAGAAAAAGAAAAAAAAAAAAAAAAAAAAAGAAAAAAAAAAAGAAAAAGATAAAAAAATCTTTGCTATCATCTGGATGAGCAATAATTTTGTAATTTCAATGAATAGAGTAAAATACAGATTTATTTCTTTTAGTTATATAATGAAAAGAAATTTACTAAAAGTGAATAATTTTAATTTCCCAAACAAAACTAGTAGCAAAAAATGTTTTATGAAATCATTGAGGCTGATTATCAGCAATTTATCAATGGAAACTACAAATAGATCCTGCTTTGCAATTCCACCTGACATTTAAATAATAAGATTTTGTATATGTTTGTTTATTAAAAAAAAATAAAATAAAATTAAAATCAGTCACATTATTTTTCTAACTTTTCCCAATATTCACATCTTTATGCTTCTTTATACATTAGATGGAAATATTTTTAATTACAAAGGAATTTAAATTTTCTCTTGTTATTCTAAAACCTAAGCAATGAGATTCAGCATATAATACTGTAGATTTGGAATATTGGCTTCCTTTTGTATCATTTCAAGTAATATTAAATACATTGATATTAATGTATTCCAAAAGATTGTGAATTTCCTTTCCCTGACCTCAATGCTTAAAATAAAAACAATTTTAAAATTAGCAGCAAGTAACATGATTTTAGAGCAAACTAGTTAATTTTTTTTTTTTTGCTGACTTGTATATTCATTGCATAAATTACAATTTTATCTCTAATTTCCTAAATGTAAAAGCTACCACCTCCTATCACACAAAGCTGGAAGGCTAAACAAAAAACTACATCTAACAAATAAAACAAGTCAATTAAAAATGTTATGTTTTTAGGCCCATGAACAACTATAAAAATCATATCACACCATGTTTCAGACAAGATAATTTATACTATGAGTACACAGAAAATATGAATTCTCTTACACTTGAATTGAAAAACTGAAGAATTTATCACCAGCTCACTAACACTGAATATGTCAGCCAAAACTGAACCTGTTTAAAAATGCAACATACTGGCCTCAATTAACTAATTTTTTTTTTTTTTTAAACAGTTGAGGAACCAATTAAAGCTTAGGTGATGTTCATTCTAGTAATATAAATTTTAAGTAGCTTGCATCAAGTTAAAAGACATCTTGATTGTAGCGAGAATAAAATTGAATTTTTTTTTTTTTTTTTCAATTTTTTTCAACTTTACAAATACAACAGTCAAGAGATTTTCATCATAGTGTTTCTAAGAGCAGCATTGGTCTGTGACAGTACATTGTGGCAAGAAATAAATGTTTCTACTGATAAGTGCTTTGAAGGGAATATTTCTATATAGGAAATCTTTATTGCAAAATAGAAATAAAAAAAAAAATTATTTGGATTAAGGATACTGAGTAAAAAAAAAAAATCTTCCAAAAATAAAATATACTTTTCTGAAACTTTATTTGAGGAATATTAGCTGATTTTACAATTTTACAATCTGATTTGAAACAACTATTATTTAATTTGTTTAAAATATTGCAGAAATGCATTTTTAACCCAACAGTAGCTGTTTATTTAAAAGGTGTTTGATTAACTTGAGTGCCTTTTATCTATAATTTTCAAGTACACGGAAATATTAAAACTTTAAGAAAATATTTTCCATAATGTAATGTTTATTGAATTTTAAATATTTTTAGTTGTAAATTTACTATACTTATAGCTCTTATTTTCTGATAATGTTGTATAAATGTTGAAATTAAAAGCTTTTATAATTAAATGTCATAGTTTTATTGTTTTTTTATTTTATGATTCAGACCAGATTTTCAGTAAATGGCATTCGTTTGACAAAAAAAAAAAGATAATTTAAATTCTCCAAGGAGTCCTGCTTTTAATTAATATGAAGAGGCTGAAATTTTAATTTCTCAATTCCATAAAATTGGAGGAGGAGGGTGGGGGGGTTAACAGGTGTAAGAAAAAAAATAAATTCAAAAATGATTTAATTCATTAGCAAATATGTTCTGAAAATTTCATTAAAATTCAACAATTATTTGATTTTACAAGAATTTCCAAAATGCTTTTAATGCCAAAAAAGACTGTAAAAATCCCTATACCAATCTTTGGCCCACCTGTTAACACAAGAAAAACAAGATTTTTAACCAAAATTTTGAACATGCTAGAAAGGATTAAAAAATTTAATAAAAATAATCAAAAAATACTTTGGTCTTTCCTCTTAATAATAACAAACATTTTGACAATAAAACTTTGTTTTTATCAAATATGGGGACTTTTTTCATCATATGCTCTTTTTTCACAAAATATTTGGAGATACCCATCTTAGAATATTTAAAAATTATCTGACAAGTATATTTTTCATCAAATCATAATAAAAATAAAATTTTAGAGCATAAAAACAAAAAAAGCAAAAGCAATCATAACTTCAGATACTGAACGCCTCCCACCACTATGTTCTATATAACAAAGAAAGAATTATCCCCCACACACCCAAATGATAGACTGACATTATAAAGTAATGTTTCCAGATCAGATAAATTAACATTTTGCAAATGTATGGTAAAATAATGTTCAAACTTTTCAATTTGATTTTGTACCAGAAAAGAATTTTAATGATTCAGCTTGAAAGTTATGAAAAACAAATAATTGTATGTTTGTGTTTAAAGGATTAATTTTTAATCACATTTTTATTACTTCTAATGTTATTTTAGCAGACACATCTGAAATAGATGCCTTGTTTTTTTTTTTTTTTTTTTGTATTTTCAACAGTGTGTAGTGGCAGGCTGATGTAATACACACTGTATAAAAGAAAAAAAAAAAAAAGATATCTATTTCAAAAAGTGTCTGCTAAAAAATAATGTTTGAAGTAATAAAAATATTTGTGCCTATAGAGGTTCTGAAATAAAAGTATTAAAAAAAAAAAAAGGCCTGTATTGCAAAAATTGACTAAGTTTGGCCTTATACTCAGCAAAGAACCCCTGCCCCCCCCCAAAAAAAAACATTGTTTAATTCACCTTCTTTAAAAAATAAACTTATTTTTATTTATTTACATTTGGACTAATGTCCTCATCTTTATCGTTATTAATACAATATTTCAACCTTTGTGCCCTCCAGCCTTCTTCAGGTGTATGTTGATCCAGGTAACCTCCAGGGAATTTTTAACTGAACACTTTAATTTATAAGGATGGGCTGTTCTTATTCTGCTGTCTATATCTAGAGATATCCCTTGTTATTAAACAGTGCTTAATTATTGCTCACCCGGTCCCTACCGTCTATACTACCCAGCCCAGAGTTATGTCATCTAATTCACAAACTAACACTAATTCACTATGCTATAGTCCCATGGAAATATGTTGTTCCAGGTAACCTTCAGGGAATTTTATTTAATCTGCAGACCTGAAGAAGGTCAGAGGGCACTATGACCAAAATGTTACAATAAAGATGGATGACATTGGTCAGAATGTAAATCATATAAATAATGAAAAGTCCTCCTTCAAGAATCTCAGATAGAAATTATTTTTATTTCTTAATACATTAAAATATTTTTTCTTACATGGGTTTAACAATACATTAAGAATTTCAGACAGATTAAAATGAATCCTTTCAAATTATATATATTTTAAAAAGAACTTGGACAAAATCAAGCAGAAAGGAATGTAATTTATGATTAAGATTCATTATAATTTTTAAAAAATAATAATGGGAAAGTCCTTAAAAAAAAAAAAAATTCTTAACTGTGTTCTATTGCAGCATTATTTAAATTTTATTAAAAAAAGGAAAACAAGCTGGCAAATTTGTCAATGTTAGAATAAAATTATTCCTCTTAATATGCTGACATTTCTGAACTAGTTAATGTTTGCTTTTTGCTTAATTGCATTTATATGGGAACAAAATAATGAATACAACCATTTACAAAGATTTCTTGAAGGAAATCACAAAAATTACACTAAGATAAAAACACTATATAAGAGAAAGAATGAAATTGATTGAAGCAGGTGTAGTTCTAACCAATATATTAGAAATTTTTAACATGGGTGATAAACTATAAAAATGCAATGGCTATCCAAATAAATGTCTCTACAAGCAAAATGAGTATTTTAAAATATTACACCCCCCCAAAAAAAAATAAAAATAATTTATAACAAAATTAAATTTTCTAAATTAAGTAAAATTAAGTAGTTTTGATATTAAAAATGAATACAACATGCAAGAAATAAATTATATCACAAAAGAGATACATTTTTAAGTCTTTGTACAATACAATTATAGTTATTTTTATTTTAAAATCAGGACTGGAGAAATTTAAATTTTGTTTGTTACTGAGACCTTATATGTACAACATTCTAACAATATTCTAACAATATTTAAAGTTAATGAATTTACTAGTGAAAATGGCAATTTTTTTTAGTAAATAAATAAGAAAAAGTAAACTCTTGAAAAAAAAATTAAATAAATAAATAAAAATTTAACATTTTATCCAAGATTAATTAATAACAAGTTTCAAATATATTTTTTCAAATATTTTAAGTATTAAGATATACCCAAAAGGAAATTTTTCTTCAGAAAATAAACATATTGCTTAAAATCTATAACCTGGTACTCACAAATCAAGTAACAATTACATCTTAAATATGAATTATAAACCTTTTCACCTGTTTATTTTTATATTTTAATATTTGATTACTTCATTGCGTGCTGTAAAATAGACTGATGATAAAACTAAATTTTTAAGTCCCCTTTATTTAAAACCTGAAAGCAAATGTGTGTATGTATATATAGATAGATAGATAGATATCTATATAAAAACTAACCTTCTATGCTTCACTGGGCTGGTGCTACGACTACGACTAGAACTTCGGCTCTTTCGGCGCCTACAAAGTAATAATAACCATATATATAGTAAAAAGTTTACCAAGTATAACATTTGCACACTTATTTTCTCCCATCTGACACACAAACACCAATATAAATATACACTTGTATCTGTGTGTGTCTAAAAGGGATAATGGAAATAAAAGCATGCACACATTTAGTTATCTTGTTATATTTTTATATAAAGTTTGGTGACTATTAAGGCATGCTATGTATAATTATTTAAACTAAAGCTAACAAAGCATCTCCAAACCAGTAATAGCTCAAGTGCAGTAAATATTGCAGATGTCAACACAAGTAACCTTGCAGGTGGTAATATAGTGGTAAAGTAGACTTGAAAATAAAGAGAGAAAAAACACACACACAAAAAGAAAAAAAATTACAAGAAAACAGAAAGAATAATATTGATTAGAACTGTAAAAAGCTAACAGAAGAACACAGCACAACAACAAACAAGTGATAGACAGTAATAAATGATATGTGATAAATTAGAGGACAAAGGAATTTTGGATCTGCTTATCCTGAAGACATTTATCCTATTCATGCACAAAACATATCAAAATATTTTAACTTGTACAAAAATAGCAATAACTGGCTGATAAAAAATAATAATGAAGAAAAAATAAAAAAAGAAAGAAAACAGTCAAATGTGTATCTGCTATAAGAAAATTAATGATCCCACGATTATTTGCAAACAAAGCAAATAGTAACCACCAAATATAGTTTTAAGTAGGCTGAAATATTGATTACATCACTTTTTTGTTTTGGTAAGCAAAGGTATTAAAAATGAGGTGCTGTAGCAAAATATCTAACATCGGTTAGTGATAAAATGTATTATTGGCTAAGTTTTTGATACTGTAGCAAGCAAGTAGTCATTGGCCAAAGTAGAAGCTACAAAGTAATTTTGGATCATTGCAATAATTTATAATCTGAAAATATAAAATATTGCAAGACAAATAAATATGAAATTAAAATTTTAAAACTCTTTGAAACTTAAGCTAGTTTTATGTGAATAACGAAAATATTGACAGATTTTCCAAACATTTTGGGATCAGAGAAAAACTAGAAGTCATGGGGAATCAAATCTAAACTGAAGTTTAGCTGACAGCCATAGGCAATGTGAGATTTTGCACCTTCTACCCACTCAAAACATTGACAACTGACAGTAGAGATATTCAAAACTTTCCAAACAGTTCATAGAAACCCCAACTCTAATTCTTGCACTGTCACCATTATTTTTCTTTACATTAGAACCAACATTTTCAGGTGTTCTGCTTGTTAAAAACCTTCTAGAGCATAGAATGCTTTCAACAGATTTCCAGCCAAGTCTTAAGTGCCAGTACCAAAATTTCATATGAGTTACATAACTCCTGAAAGCATTCTTAATTTGAACTGTTCCATTCAACACTTGATACATGTTTGCTGTGAGTGCAACAGTTACACAATACACAACATCACTCAATGGAGTTTCACTTCCAACTGAGTTAAATGAGATTGTCTGCTCATGAATGTACAGTAAGTTTCCATGATTGCTTGCCAACTTACACCAAGGTCATGCAATTCATATTAATTAATAATTAGGTATTTCCAGGATAAACCTTGTATGAATTTATTGAGTAGACTAACAAAAATTCTATATTTATTTCATTGGAAGCAATATTTTAATTTTTTAGGCTTTCAGACATCTTGTTATGAGAGGAAAGAGAGTGGAAGGGACAAAAAAAAAAAAAATGTTCAAATGCAATTTAATTTTTTTGCACAAACTGTCCAAGAATTAAAATTACTAATAAAAATATTTTTGAAAAATATGATTTAACAAATTTATTTAAGATTCTTATACTTAAATGTAAATTATAATGCTGTAATTTTACTTTTTTCTCTTTACTTCAGATTAATTTCATGGCAACATCTGTCTTTTCACAAAAGATGTAAGAATGTATATTTCTCCTATCTAATTACTTGATTGAATTTGTCACACCTATGTAAACACTACATTCTCAAAAGTTTAATTTGTGGGGAAAAAAAATAATCAATATACATTTTTAATTTCAGTACAATAATCAACTTCTGAAATTTTCATATTAACATGTAAAATATTTTTAACTTTAAAATTGAAGTATATAAATTCATAGTTAAAATACAATTCAATTTTAAATATGCACAATATTAAAATTATTTAATTAAAGTTTGATTTTTTAAATTAGATCCTCAATCTCCTTTTTTATAGGTCAATTGCAGTGAGGTCAGTGTATTTTTCAATTTAGTATAATTTAATTGATAAGATTTTTGCCAAATTTTATGCCCACATCTTAAAGGCTACAGTAAAAGATATAGGAATTAGATATTTACAAAGTCCAAGAAGAAAATTGCAAGATTTTTAGCATTCTTTTTATGATTAAGTGGCATAATATCTTAAGTAAGAAGAAATTGCTATCTTAGAAGATACAAAAATATAAGGAATAATATTTGGTTTCATCTTGTCAAAGGAAAAAAACCATTGAGTATTTTTATTTTTTTTGCAAATGCAACCAATTTTTTTTCAAATAGTTCTCAGAATAACAGCTTAACTTTGTTTTATGAAGTAACAATAAATTTGAATAACTATATATTTGGAGTAATAGGAAATAACTACTAGGAAAATATAAGGCTATTAAATTCTAATAACTGAATAGATGAAGAAAAAGTTTAGCTGAATCTTAAGTCAAATTATATCAAATACAGTCACTTTGTAAAACTACACATACAGTTTATAACATACAAAAGAGCTGAAATAATGAAAACGCCAACTTTCAGTAGATTTTCAAGATCTTAGTCCAATTCAACTTCAAGTAAAAACCCAAATTGATGGTATAAAATTAATTTGAATTTAAAGAATTCACATCACCCCCTGCCTATATGACTTTATCAAATTACAAAATGACCTTTATTGAGGATATTCAGCTAGAAAACACGTGTGTGTGTGCGTGTTATTAATATATAATCAGTGAATTAGGCCATAACTTATGAAAATGACAACCATACAAAAATCCTTAAGCAATGAGTAAGTGTGTGTATGACAAGAAGGATGGGGGTAAACATGCCACAAGACTAAACTTTCGAAAAAGTGTAAGAAAAAATATTATACACAATTGTCTTTTTTATATGTGATTTAATTTTGTTTTTCTTAGAAAGTATAATATACAAGAATGGAAGCAGTACAACTATATTTTTGTTATATTTAGGGTTGATTTTTTTTTTTTTCATTCATTCAAATTTATCAGCAGTAAAAATTACAAAGTTCGAAGATCTCAATCAACTCTAAGCATGAAGATTCAAGTTTGATCCTAAAATGGACCTTTAAATAGAGCATGAAACTACTCTGCAAGTCTTTGAGACAAAAAAGTCTATTTTAAAGGTTTATATAGATAATATTAAACAAAATTATTTCAGAATTTTTTAATGAAACAATCAACTGGAATTTGTAATCAAACTTTTGATATATAAAATCCCAGCTAACCATACCAGATGAAATATTTTATAAGAGAATTAGGATTTGAAAAACCAGTCATGAAATAAAACAACACACTACAATTCTCTATATGATCAATAATATTCATGTTAGAAAATTTCAGAAAAACTATTTGGCATCCTGTTAATCTAATAAACAAAAAATTATGTGAAATGTAATCAATGTTAGCTGAGATGATCAAATACTTTTAAAATATTCACTTTGAAGAAATTGATTAGCTGATAAATAGAAGTCAAAATTAAAAAAATATATGCAAATATTTTAAATACTTAACCAAAACAATTCGACAAAGTTAATGAATTAACACTAACACTTAAATTTGATTTAAGTTTGAAACAATAAAATATTGTTAGACCAATATATAAACCAACAACCATAGCATGTTTCCTAGAATGTATTTTGTTTGGTCCCTTTATTCTATTACAGAGAACACAGATTAACAGTTTATAAAAGAAATGTGCTGAATAACACGCTCACGCGTGTGTATTTGTTAAAGTTCTCAGATTATATCTGTAGAGAAGACAAATTGGATGAAATAGACAATCAGATGTACTTAGTGCTTGTCAACACATTTTGTCATTTGACTTTATCAAGGCAAGTGATGATAAACAAAAGCGAAATGTTGCGTAGTTACATGAAATTCAAAAGTTTTAAAAAACTCTCCTGTGTAAGCCTCTTTTTGGATATTAGTAACATTTTTTTTTTTTTGACTAAGCATGTGTTTTTGTTTTCCATGTCAATGTGTTAAAGTTCTTAGAATATATATATCTGTAGAGAAGACAAATTTAATAAAATAGACACATTGTCAACATGGAAAACAAAAACACACACTGAGTCAAAAAAAAAAAAAAAAAAAAAGTTACCAATATCCAAAAAGAGGATTATACAGGAAAGTTTTTAAAAATCTTTGAATTTCATGTAACTAAACAATATTTCAAATTTGTTTATGATCACTTGCCTTGATAAAGTCGAATGACGAAATGCGTTTTATCATTTTATTTTATTTATTATATATATATATATATATATATATATATATATATATATATATATATATATATATATATTTCTAAAAGCCAACTATATGCAGTAAAGATAACATAAAAAAAAAGTATTGAAAATGTTTAATAAGTTCCCATATTTTAAACACCAATGATTGTAGAGGTTAGGAATAAGTAGAAATACAGTTTTTGACCTAATTTAGAATAATTTAAAATTCAATTCTAAGTTACTAAAAAAAAAAAAAAAAAATAAAAAATAAAAAAAAAAATAATACCTTATCTTATTCCAGATGGAAAAAGTTTTTCACATTGCAGTAAAGGTTTTCTAAAACTAATGACCAAAAATTTAATTTAGATAAAATAAGTATCTTAATTTAAATATATATTTCATATTTAAAAAGTGTGCCTTTGCTCCTTCAATCAATCAATCTATCAAGAGAGACAAAAGGTGGAAATTGTCTTTAAGATTCTACATATATATTCTGAATTAAATTAAGTATTACTCTTACCATGAAAGCATACACTATAACTGTTTTTAGTAAGGAAAATGCAAAATGCTAAGATCTTAAATAAAAATCTGCTAAAAAAAATCCAATAAGTAATCTTATACTGAAGACTACAAAAAATCCTTCAACTGAAGTTGCTGGCAAAATGAGATAGGGAGAAAATAATTTGTGTAGATATTTAAATTTGATAAATTTAGTTGCTCGAGTTTTAAATTAAAAAAAAAAAAATAAAAAATAAAAAAAATAATTTTTTTTTGTTGATACCCATTATAACAGTATTAGAGAAATAAAATTTAACTACTTTTATAATTTACAGAAAGATAATTGCTTAAGTATATGATCATAGATGATATATTTACTTTTGTCAAAATTTAAAATACTTTCACATTAAAAGTAAAACAGATTTTAAACCAAAATATGAAATATGTTATAGCCTATTAAAATTGTTCATATATACATCAATACTGAGATTTGATGACCTAGATTAAGTGTGAAAAAGATTGAGAGACAGCTGTACAGAAGTAGATTAGCTTAATTGACACTTAGTGCCTAAAGGAAGTATTTTAGCAGTCTCAAGTAAAATAAAGCAAGTTTAATTAACATTAACAGGAATTTTTCTATTATAAAATTTGGATCATCTGCCTAAATATTGACAGAAGAAAAACAAAGGAGAAAAAATGTAAGTAAAAGTAAGTAAGCACTAAAGTCAGCTTAAGCTATTCAACTTATGCAATTAGCAATAACAGCTGTCTCACAGCCATCAATGCTGATCAAGCCTGAATATAGTTTTATATAGCCATGAATACCCCACTAACCCTACTGCAGAAAGGTGTTAAAAGAAATACCTGCAGTAGCAGCAGCTAGTGTTCCATTAGACACCGAATTATGAAGTGCTAACTCTTCTAAGCAGAGTTAACTATCAGAGCGTCAACTCACATACCTGATCTGTTTGTTCTTAGCTTTCAGCTAGCATGAATACTTTCACATCTTTCGCCAATATGAGACCAAAATTGACACCTATAAGTCCAATATATAACAAAATTATTAGAAGGAGCCTACAATTTTTTTTTTAAATTATATTTAACTTTTTTCTGTGAAGCCTCCAGCTTGGACCCATGGGCAACCCTACAAAGACAACATTTATGAATGACATACACCATCCAGCCAGGGCCCCTGTAAAATCAAGCCAGGAAAAGGTTGGATGATATAAATACAGTGCAGATAGTCACATTTTACCTGCTAAGAAACCTAACTGGAATTAAGGACTCACTGAAAGGAAATGAAACCAAATATTTTATTTGGCAATCTTAAAGCACAGGTTGAACTGAAACTATAGAATCTAAAATAAAACAGCTGATAAAGTAGTGGCAAATGTTTTTGTTTATATACACACACATTGTTACTAGCAAACTTTCAATTTTTCACAAAGATAAGTTTCATATGGATGTTTTGAGATTATCCAGATTAAATGTGGTGAGATGTGAAGCACTACTAGCAGCCTGCGAGGAGAGACAGAAAACCAGAGGGAAAATGAAAAAGGGAAAATTCAGATTATACTTTCTTCAAGGAGAAAGGAAGGCAGTTTACTTTGCCTGCAATGAACAGAAAAATGCAATCATTCATGGGTGGAATTTATAGCAATTGGAAGCCAAACTTTTGCCATTGCATTTTTATGTATTTTTCATGAGGTGATGGACTTGAACCTGTTATTCATGGAATGTAAGAATGTGCAGCTCTATTTTACAGACATCAAATTTAGAAACTGTGTTGCCTATCATAGCAACCAGTAGACAATTCAAATAACTAGTGTTTTTAAATTTACAAATGTTTCTTTTCCTTAGCATTTAAATGAAAAGAATCTAAAATGCACAGGCATTATATATATATATATAATATATATATTTTAGAGCAATTCCCAATACTTACCAAAAACAGCCATTGAATATGAATTTCTGAAATAAAACCAATGAACTAAAAGGCTGGCAGTTACCTAACCTTGTTATTGAGAAAAATATTAAAGCAAATTATTTACCATTAAATTTTATATAAAAAAAGTTCCACAACTGAATGTTTAATTCATTAATGCAGGAAGAGATCTGGAAAGTATATAATGTAAAATGATCCCAAATTTAAAACTGCTAAACTAAATCTTAATTCATGCTCATTCAAATATTTCATAATCCCAGAAATGGTAATTTGGCTAGTAGAATAATTATACAATATTAACATATATAACTTATCACTATTGGTTAAAATGTTAAAATAAAAATAATAGAAAAAGTTAAGAGGCGGGGAGGAGTTTAATACAGAAAAAAAAAAAAAAAAATGAAATGAAAAATGTGATCCCCATAGTTATTTCTGAATATCCCACCACCATTAAATTTAAACTATTTTAAACAGGGGATGCTGAAAAACCTTACCAATAAAGTGTGTGTGTGTGTGTGTGTGTGTGTGTGTGTGTGTGTGTAAAAAAAAATGCAGCAATTAATTTTGGGATATATAACTCACCAGAAATTCACAATAACAAAAATATAAAAATTCAATTTTTCAGATAAGCAGCAATAAAATCCAATAAAGCAAATAAAAATAAATTTACATTAAAATTATTTAAAAAAAAAAAATTCTTAGTCTTAATGTTTGTTTAAATAGAAAAAATTTGTGATAAAATAAGGGGGGGAAAAAAAACAACAAAAAAACAAAAAACAAAAAAAACAAAAAACAAAAAAAACAACAAAAAAAAAAAGCATCAAAGTTATAAAGTTGAAGCAACAATAGTTTAAGGGTGAAAATATTTGTCATTTTTTTTTTAATACAAAATTTTGGGGAAAAAATTAATCTTAGCATAGTGGAAATGGCTATAGTAAGAAAAATATAATTGCTAGCAACTGTAGTATGATTTATCTTTAAACGAAGTTTAGAAAGTCATTTAGAAAGTTTATCTAGTCTAAATACTAAATGTATTTTCAGTCAATATAAAGTTCAGATGAAATATTCTATCAAAAATAATTTTTCATTTAAAAGTAAAAATTGCAACAGTCTAACTTAAGTTCTGTTTTAAATTACTAAATCTTAAATAAAATAAACATAAAAGTCAAATTCTCCTATTAAATACATTGGAATAAAAGTAAAAATGCATAAATAATTAAACCAATATTTATAAGTAAAGAGTGATAAAAATATAATACTAATAATAGAGAGCAAAGAGAAAACACAAGAGTAGAAAATGTGATAGTGATTATATTAGATTTGGGTTAACCAAGATCAATATACAAGATCTGAATAAGATTATGAAATGTACAGATTATAGATCAATAAACAATGCAGACTATGGTAAGAATATAGGCAGTAAAATCTAGGTTAATTATGTTCAGCAACAATAAAGCAGTCATAGTAACCAAAGATAATGCAAATTTTATGGTAAATAACTGTGATAATCTGTTGAGCTAGATATTGTAAATATCTGTTTTTATGTAAACATAAGCTACTGGAAGCATTATTTCAAGGACATATTGAAGATTACTATTTAATCACAATATGGTTCATCTACAAATGATCCTATTAAAAATGATTCAATCAAAATTCAATAAGCTAAAAAAACATATTAGCAATGTTAAAATACAAGGGGGTGCCGAAAAGTTGTCAACCCAACACACTTCCTAAAAGTGGAATATAAACAGAATTTTTATAAATCCTCTCTTGGTTAGGCCAAGAGCTTTTCAGTACTCACTTGTAATTGATTCTCAAAGATTATTTTAAAATTACAATGTATTTAGAGGTGAAACAAAAAGTCAGATGTTACAGATTGTATACAATGAATGCTATTTATATTAATGAATAGTTGAGAATAAACCATATAAGAATAAATATTAGAAAAGATTTAGTGAAATATTTGTAATAAGTGATTTAAGCAATAAAACCTACTGATATGAAACAGGAATTCTTAATTTAGAATTCTGAAAATTTAAATATAATTTAACAAAGCCAAGGATGTTACTTCAGATTATAAAGTGCGGACATGAAATCAACAATGCATGGTGGCTGGCACTTTCACACCTTACTGGTTTGATGATTATTTAAAGTATAGGTACCTCCACAATAATTGCTAGACTTGAAGTTTAAATTAATTTTTAAAAATGAAAAAGCTTTCTTGAAACCTTCATTTTAGCTTTAATTGAAAACTAAAGAATTAAATTTACTATTTCCATCAAGCAAGCCTGGTGTATTTCAAACAGGAATTATACTAATTGGAATCAATTTTCATTTTTTTTCAGTAACATTAACAAAGTCATCCATTTTTTTAAACATTTGTAAACACAAGTTAGTGCTCAGTTTTAAAAATCTTGCAAAAATAAAATATACTTTTCTGAAACTTTTAGATTTAAATTATAATTAAATCTGATTTAAAACAAATATTATTTATTTTAAGTCTAAAATATCATAGAAAGTCTTTTTTAACCTGACAGTGGCTGATTTGACATGTTGACAGTTTGGTGACAGGCTTTGGATTATGTTTTACAGATAAAGTCTCTGTAAAACAATATTAATTGTTCTACAGAGACTTTATCTGTAAAACATAATTTAAGAAAATGACGTGAGCACCTTTTTTAAAGATAATTTTTAAGTACTCAATCTTAAAAATTTAATAAAAATATTCTCCATAATCTAATGTTTTATTAAATTTTAGAAATATTGACTTTAAATTTACTGTAGTCATTGTTCTTGTTTTCTGATAATGCCGTGTATGGTCACATACTTATGAAAATGTGCACATTTTTATATATATATATATATATATATATATATATATATATATAAATAAATAAAAATTCTTTAAAACATTGGAGTTTGATGATTTTTATTAAGCTTTTAAGTAAATATAGTTTCCACTTAATCTAAATGGCTGAAATTAACAAAGAATTTTAAGATTTAAAACTTCATAAATTATTATAATTAAAAAAAGAAAATTCTTGAAAAATTCAGTATTGATTGAAAAAAATGTTTTTAAGACAATAGTGTCCTTAATAAATGTTACTAAAAGCTTTCCTAATTAAATAATGTCATAGTTTAAAGGCATTTTTTATTTTAAGATGCAGAGCAGATTTTTGATAAAGGAGTAACTGGAAAAAAAAAAATCGATAATCTACATTCTCTAAAGAGAACTGCTTTAACTAATTTAACTAACCATTAAATGGATCAAAATTTAATTTCTCAAAATGTCATAAAAGTGGGGGTAACAGATGGGGCGGGGGGGGTTGGAAATATTTTCACCAAGATTTTCTAAAAAAAAAAAAAAAAAATTCATTTGTGAAGTCCAAAAAATTTCATTAAAATCTGACAATTACTTGATTTTTGCAAGATTTCCAAAAGAATGTGTTTTTTTTTTTTTTACTGTAAAAAAGACACTAAATTTCCCATCATGATCATTGGCCTAGCCACTGATGCAAGAAAAACAAGACTTTTAACCAAAATTCCAAATGTGCTAGAAAGGATTAAAAAATTTAATAAAATGATAAAAAAAATACATTGGTCTATCCTCTGAATAACAAACATTTTGGTGATAAAACTTTGTTTTCATCAAGTTTGGAGCCCCTTTCATCATGTTCTCTTTTTTTCTTTTTTTTTTTTCTCCACAAAAAAAAAAAAAAAAAAAAAAAAAAAAAATAAATAAATAAATAAATAAAAAAATAAAAATGAAGGTACCTACTTAAAGTATGAAGCTGTCAGCCACAAGGCAGTATTGATTTGTCCTCATCTAATATCAAGCACATTTCCCTCAAATATAAAAAAATTTTAAATTTACACACACATACACACACAAAATGCTGAAAAGTTCTCTGCCTAACCCAAAAAGGATTACAAAATTATGTTGGTCACTTGGACTGATTTTGGGAAGTATGACTGAAAACTCTTAAGAATTTCCTTATGTGTCTATGTGTATACACCACACACACAAAGACAGCCACCCCACCCCGACCACAGATATAATTGTAAATATTTCATCTCTTTTAGATCAAGCTTTTCTAAAATTATATTTTTCTTCAAAACTGAGAATACTCATTTATTTCTGTTAGATGCAGCAGGAAATTAATAATCTAAACAGTTTTGAGAATTAGTAAATAGTAAAATAAGAATGTGAACTGTTCTTTAATTTGCTCAATTCAGTTTTGTTTTTTGAATTGTGCTCTGGGCTTTGTTCAAAATATTTTTGAATATCATCCAATTACAGAAAGAAAATTTGTACTTTGTGTTAAAAAAACAAAACCAAAAAAACTTAAAAAAAAAAAAAAAAAAAATTCAATTTTCTGCAACTTTTTCAATACAAATAGCAAAATAGCTAAAATTTCCTAAGTTGATAAAAAAAACTATAGGAGACTGATTCTTCATACAAATTCCGAATCCTGTTATTTTTAATCTTAAGTAATCAATTTAAAAACTAAAAGAAAAATATTCTCATTTGACAATTACTATAAAAGAATTAAAATCAAGACAGGAAAGAAAAAATTAAAAGCTAATAACTACCCAAAGTATTAAAGATTGTTATATTCAAAGTCCTTAATTAAACTGGACTGTATTTGCAAGAGAAAATATATACAAGATCAGACTGCTTAATTTCAAAACATCTGATCATTCCTACAAACTTGAAGAACACTCATTTTCAATATTAAAGAAACATTATAAAAAAATTGAAATCACAAGTATCACTTGTTTAATAAATAAAATAACTTGTCTCCTTGTTACCTATGAACAAAGAGGCAAATTTTGAAAAACACCTATGAAAGTACACACATTTATTATCTATGTGTACATTATCAACATTAAGCGTACTTTCCATGAGAAGATTGCATAGGACATTTGCTTTGGACATCATTAAATAGGGCAGTATTAACAAAAATACTGCAATCAGCATGTTAAATATAACATATAAAATACACTATTTAAAATTGAATATCAAAATTCTACAATATATTTTAAATAAAGGAGAATGCAACATTTCTGGATTATTATTCACTTAGAATGTTTAAGAATGAATTATTCTATAAAAAAATGTTAAGTACAAATAACAAAATTATTCCTACACTTTAATTATCTATGACTAAGTTTTTTTTTTTTTAAAGGAGTTTTTTTTGTACTGCACAATCAATAACATTCAAAGATATTTTGTCCTCACAACTTCTCAATGCTACTGTCTCACATCCATCTGTCACATGGGTCCAAGGATACCTGAAACAGGTAGGATTTTGTGTATGTATATGTATTTTACTTTAAATGTCACCCAGGAGTTCTAAAAAAATGATAAAAATCTCATATTATACTTGTTTACAGAATATGTATTATATATCAGGATTCATTCAACAAATAGATTTAAACTCAAAGACTTAACTCCACTGTCTTTCACATGAAAGTGAAAAAAGTAGAAAATGTTAAAGAAAATCATTGGCAAGGCTGATAGTTTTAAAAAGTTCAATACATAGTGCTATTTATTACAGCTGTTGTATAAAATATACATTTAAATTATTTTCTTTTATTGTATAGCTGAATATAAAAATTCATAATTCATTTAAAACAAGAATTCTGGATGCTACAAGAAGAAAAAAAATCAGAAAATTATAATAAAATATTTATGAAACATGAAATTTAATTACAAGCTGTAATAATTTTGTTCAAAATAAATTTTTTTGGATTAACCGGATTCCAGTTTTTCAAATTAAGTGTAATGGACTCAGTTCAAAGAGATTCTGTTAATGTTATCCAAACAAGTAATGTTTTTATTGGAAAAAAAAAAAAATTATATTTGTATAAATAGCATCTGATAATTCTTTTTAATGTTCATAATACAAGTATGATTTGTTCAATGCACAGCTTTGCCCATGACCAATATATAAAAGGAACAAGCTAACTTAATGTCATTATTTCCAGCCAATAAATTTGAAATTTTATGGTAGAGGTACAAGAAAGTTCTTCTGACTTACCTTCTCTCTTTATCTGATCTGCCATCTGGTTTTCCATCATCCTGCAAGAGAAAAAAAAATTAGTAAAGCTTTCTTGTAATTTTTAATTAAATTTTATATCTTCATGTAGATAGAAAGCTGAAAAGAATACACTATTCATATCAACTTCGAATTTGTTTGGAAAAACTTAACTGAGTGTATGATTAGTTGTTTTGCTTCATCAGAAATAAATAGTTCAAAATGTGAAATGCTGGCTCCTGGTATGTACAATTGCAATTGATAAATTGTAATTTTAATTGGATGGGTAAAGAACTTGTTCACACCAAAAAAACAAAAAAAAAACACATACACACCTTATCACTAAACTAACATCAGTTGTTAAAAAAATGTGTTCAAAGTACTAAAAAATAAAATAAATCTGTATAAGTTAAATTAGTAGGTATAGATACTCATTCCATCCATTCAGCAAAGACAATTTTGTTATTAATGATCAGTCATCTTTTAGGCTAATGTTAAGATATCAGGTGAGATTTAAAATAATCATGCATACAAAATCTAAAGAAATTCAACATAAAAATAGAATTAAGTACACCACCTAAGTTTTAAACTTAGTTTCCTATAAACTTTATACAAAAATGCAGTTATTAAAGTTTAGTTTCAGTAATGTTAAAGAATGTTAACAGATGTAATAAATTCTCACAAACTGGATAAATTAACCCATTTTAGAAAATAACATTTTCTGCAAAGTCTGATTAAAAAAAGTTATATTAGAGTAAAGAACCCAAGGAACCAGCATATCACAAATTTTTCTTTCCAATTAACAACCCCTCCCCCAACTGGATTTACCCATATAGACCAAAAAAATGGAGTTTTCAGCTGGCATAAAAAGTACAAAAAGGCTTGATGTTATTTCTTCAGTCCTGGGGCACCTTCCTTTCAGCAGGTCTGGGTCATCCTTGATGCTAACCCTAAGACAAAAGGGATGGGCAAATTTAAGTTTCATATTAACACAATAAAACTTAACAAAACAATTTCATCAGTAACAGTTACAATATCATATACCGATTCTTAATTGCATCCTCAGTTAACGATTTTAAAAATGATCAAATTTGTAAATTTAGACCATTAATAATAGACATATTTTATATATATATATATATATATATATATATATATATATATATATATATATATATATATATATATATATATTTTTTCTTCTTCTTTCTTTCAAACCTGAATTTTCCATTTCTAGCATCAACACTTATTAACATATGTACATTATAATATATCATTTATTATACTCAAATGTTACAATACTAATAATTAAAACTAAAAGTTATATATAGGAATAATTCAATTGAGGAAATTTGCATGACCAGAAATTGAAAATATGAGAAATGTTTGATAATTACTCTACTTAATGTTAAAACTGAAGGCAAAACTATTGTAACCACTGTTTCTTACTATTTTTAGCCTGTAGAAATAATCACCAAATTTAGGAATGTCCATCAGATGTTTTGATATGGGTACATAAATAACAGCTCATATTTTCAAGAATTGTAATATCCCTCAAGACAAAACCTGACAAGTAATATTTCTTAGTAATCAGTATATGATATTATATATATATGGCAGGGAGAGAGGAGGGAGACTAAATAATAGAACACAATTTAACAAAATGTGAACAATATATCCTTAACCAAAACATACCATTTTGTAATTATTGTGCTTCTTAATAAATAATAATTGTTAAAGTTAAGAAAAATAAATAGAAATCAGGAGCTAAATTTCCATCTGCTTTTATAAACTCCTAAATGAATTACATGCACAGTTCAGGTTAATATGAATGAAAATGGCCATAAGAAAGTAAATGTTAAATTACTTCTGAAAAACAAATTTAGCAAGTTCATAAAGCTACGAATTTTAATTCAACTTTTATGTTTGAATGAATGCTGCTATGAGTGATGATTTGCCAATTCCCACGTGGGAATGAAGCTGGCACGAAAATCAACATAATCTTAAAAAAAAAAAAAAAAAAAAAAAAAAAAACTTTAAATATCCAATGATCAATTCGGTTTCAAAATACTATAATAGAAAGCGTTCATTTTGTTTTAGAACCTTACACTGAAGCAGCATTTATGAAAATGATCTTATTATAACTACTATTTGAAATCAAAGTCACATATGAAGTTATGAATGAAGGATCTTTTTCTCTTTTCAAATGTTATCTCTATAAGAACCATTACACTTTTTATAAAAAGAACAAAAAGTACTTATAGCATTTATTGTAGAGTTGAAGAAAACAATAAAAATGAAAAGTTGGAGGACAATTCTTTTATCAAATTCACATTCTGTATTGATGCATCCATTCAAATTCTGAGAACTGTTATCTGAAAAGATTTATACAAAATGTAGATTTTATAAGCAGCATGATCTGATCAAAATTCAAAATCAGATTTTTAATTATGTTAAGAAAAAAAAAAAAAAAAAAAAAAAATTTTTGAGCTTCTAGCATGGATAAAATCTAAGTTCTTAGGGACTGCAAGTTTCTATATATAAATTTTAAATGAGTTTAAATTTATATACCGAAACTTATTTAGTAAATAAAAGCTTTTTAAAATATATAAAATAGAATCAACAATATATGATCATAGTGTTAAATATGGTTGTCTTGAGCAGATAAAAGTAAATATAACAAATCACCAATATCTCCAGCTTTACAACATGCACTCACTGTTGACTGGACTTTACCGCCATATCAGTATAGTACAAAGAAAACTTTAATTCAATTTGGGCCATTAAAATTTTAACAAATATTTTCAATAAATTTTAAAATTTTAAACAATTTATACATATAAGTCTAAAATTGCCTCAAAGAGACTAAAACAAAAGTAGCTGTAAATGTTTTTTGAATAATGTTTATTTTGAAATAAAGTTTTCATCCTACTTTGTATTTTAAATTTATGTTAAGAATTATTCCTTTTTATATAGTTTATTTAGCAACATTCTCTTAGGTTCAGAAAATGTTTTATCAAAGTGATTTTTTTTTTTGCAATATACATAATTTAAAAAAAAAAAAAAAAAATTTTTTAAAGTACTCTGTCATTTTTCTGCTGCATTATCAAGATAAGAGTAAAGTTCTCAAAAATACCATGAAACCATAAAGAATTAGTTCTTATAGAGGAAAAGAATTATTAAATACAACAAAGCATGTTAAAACACATATTCAAAGTGTAGTACACTTCAAATAAGATAATTGAATCAACAAACCATAATACAGTATGGGTGTGTAAATTTCTTGGCTATATATATATATATCTCCCATGACAGAAAAATTTGAGATGGAGTAAGGTAGTTAACACATAAAATGGAGCAGATATGATCATTTTTTTTTTAATTTGTTCTGAAATATATTCCATACTTTATCCTTTCAAAAAGCAAAAGAATTAATCATTTGAACATAGGAATAAGGAAGTCTTATGCTACATTGATACATCTGGATATCAACAAAAGCATCATACTCAATGAGCAATATACTTACCTCATCTCAACTGCAAATCTCTATAGAGTTAACTAAAGATTGCAATGAGATGCTATAAATTAGAAAATTTTTAAATAGAAAGATTTTTTTAATTTTTTTCTAATTTTCCCCAAAAGTTAATAGCTTATTAAAAACATTGTTCTAAAAAGACATTTTTCCAATCTTTGGAAAAATTATTTCATGGATTTTTTTTTTTTTTAATGAACTGTTATATATGCTGTTCAAAATAGACTCCCAAGTTTTAAAAACCTGAAAATAAAAATAATTAATTAGCAAGGATTAATCCAATTTAGTCAACTTTAATTCAAATAAAACTTCTTTTTTTTTTTTAATTTTAATCAACTAATTAAAAAAAAAAACAAAAAAAAAAACTATCAAATAAAAAAAATTAAGACCTCCTCCACTTCCAGTAGATTAAAATTAGAAAAAGGTAAAATAAAAATAACCTTCATAGCTACTAGCAAAATTTAGTATAACTTACAGATTAAACTTTTTAAGCAGTTATTCATTCTGAAATATTAAAATGAAAATCAATTCAAGCCATAAAAAAATTATTCTTATTTAAACAGTGTTGATCAGCTATTACAAGCTAAAGTACATTTAGAAAAAAAAAAAAAGCCTATCCAATATTGCCGACTTTAAACTAGTTATAAATATAAATTATGTATTTACTTGTTATTTACAAAAAAATTTTATGATCATAATTTTATAAAAAATGACTTATTGAGGAATTTTTGTTCAAAATATATGAAGAGTAAATAAGATATGTCATATTTTATGGAATATAAAATTACTTAAAAAAACCTCCAAAGTCTTTATATGTGAAGTTGAGACACATACTAAGAATGTTTTCCTAAATGGAAGTTATGTGCACAAATATAAACTGAAAAATCAATCAATGTGCTTTGTAGAGTGGAAGGGGGATGGGTTCAAAAATTGCAACTGAATTTATTCCAAATTAAAAAAGATTTATAGTAATCATTTTTATTACTTTAAAATATAGAAAAAATTCTTTAGATGTTATTACCTATTAGAATTTCAAAGATTAAAAATGTTTACTCTGTTAATTATTTGTGATAATTCATCACACAGGTCAAATGTAAAAACTCAAATGATAAAAGTGATTTCATAAGTCATTTTCAAATTCAAGCTGCAGTAGTTCAAATATCCATAACTGTTAAAGCTTGCCTCTCATCAAGGGGCTAATAAGGGAGGGGGAGTCTTTAAAGCTGATTGTCCGTAGATAGGAAGGGATTATTTTTGAGGCATATAACTACTATAGTAGTTATGATCATGTAAATACTATAAACATGTATATATGGCATACATAAATACTGTACTTAAGTGAACATTGAAGTCAACAGGCTGTTTCATGCTAGACACAATCATCAGGCTGCCCTGTCGCCTCTGAGTGTTGACTTCAATGTTCACTTTCATATCGCTCTATTTCTGACATTGAGCACACCTTAAAACTATATATATATATATATATATATATATATATATATATATATATAT